ATGTTGCGAGAGACAATCACCGGCGATGATGTTGCGAGAGAGAAAATTGAGAAGACGCAGGGACAGGGAAGGTGCAGGGACGGAAGAAGCGGCGGGTGAGATAAGGGGTGAAACCAAAAGAAAGAGAGAGAAATTTTATTTTTTGGGATGGGGGGGGGATTTCGTGGGGGGTATGAAGTATATGGGGTACATCCGGTGTACATATCCGGTGTACCCATAGAATTATCCTAAGTTGAGTCAAAAGCATGAATCAATACTTTTGGGCAATGCTAGGGGTACACCAACATGGGGTATCCCAAGTGTACACCAAGCCAACACAGACACACACAGACACAAAATGTCTGTGCAACACAAACACTTTGTGTCTGTGTGTGTCTGTGTTGGCTTTGGTGTAAACTTGGGGTACCCCATGTTGGTGTACCCCTAGCTTAATTCAATACTTTTTGATTGATTATAAAAGTTATTCCGTATATTATTGGGTAGGGATAGACGAACCAAATGACATCGACAGATCTCAATTTAGAGCAAGTTGGTCCGAAAAATGTGTTACTCAAACAATTATTTTTATGGTGGAACCAAAACCTTCTTCGATCGATCGAGGACCACGACTAGCGACGCCAACTCTCTCTCCCTCCTCCTGCGATTAGCCAATAGCAGCATCCGCGTCAGACCCAGCGACACGGAGGAGGTTTGAAAAGGCGATCTTCTTCTCCGATTAATCGAGCAGATGGGGTCTGTCCTCTCGGGCGACTCGGCGATCTCTCTCTCTCCTTCACCTCCGGCAAACGAGTGATGACGGCGGCGACCCTGGTTGGTGCAACCCTCCTTCTGCTCCGGTGCCCTGTCCGATGGGACACAGCGGCAGCACCAGCGTCTGGGATGATCTCCCTCTACCTCCCTCAGTTTGGCGACAGGGGAGGTCACAATCAAGCAATCTCCTTCCCCGATCAATCAAGCAGCAGCACGGATTCTGGCAGAATAGACCCAACGACTTTCGGTAACCCCCTCGCTCTTCTATGAGGATTGGGGCTGTGCAAATTGGCTACACCAGGTTTAGACTTGTCGATCTTTTATATTGGATCGATATATTCGTGAAAAAAGTGGATGTTTTAAAAAGAGAGTACAAATATTAAGGAAAAAACTAAACTACGAGAAAAATATAGAAAAAATATCAAAATAAGAGTTAATGTATTTTATTCTCAGAATAGGAAATTATAATACCAACATGTAGTGCAAAAAATATTTGACAATATACAATGTCATAATATAACAATGTAAAATTCTATTTTGAAGATAAGAAAATAGAACTCCTATTTTAAAGATAAATGCTATGTTTTCCTCTTATTTGAATTGATTATTTTAAATACTATTCAAAAAAATCATATTAAATAAATACTCCCTCTTTGTGTAATTTTTTTTATCTATTTGGCTTTTCATTATTTTTAATTCAATCTTTTAATCATTAGTATCCCAATTTATATGTAGATACATATTATAAAATATGATATTTCAATGATTATTTATTGGTATTAAATTTTTACTCTCGTCGTCCCAAATTAAATTATAATTGTATGTTCACTATTTACATGGTCAAACTATAAAACAACTCTCATTATATATTTCTGGTACTCATTTGATAAAATAATATAATTATGTCACCTCTTTTTCATTGAATTTTGATTTAATTTTTAAATAAAAAAACTACCTCAATTTTCAAATAAACTCTCATTAGTGCCAATTGGAAGTTTATCTTCACAATTTCAATATCCATTGTTGTTTTTGGTGATATCCATCGCGTCAGCCGTCAGTCATTAATTTATACCACCCCAATGCCCCGTCTCCATGAATTAAAAAGTGCATATCTAAATTGGAAATGTGATTGTACACATAACAATTTTAAGGTAATAGTTATATCCGTGCACAATAACAAGTATGGACGATTTCGGTATTGACATTCACACAAGAAATAGAAGTAGTTTCAAGACTCCAATTCTGAACGCTTCGGCTAGATTAGATGGCTCTCTTGGGCAGATTCACTTCGATCGTTGTTCCCTTTAGATCGAGTGTGATCGAGGAGTCCACTATGACCATCAAGTTCGCTAGATCGATCATGACTATGGGATCAGCTGTGGTCACCACTTTTGTTGGATCAACTGCAGCTACAGCCGTAACGGTCACCCCACTCGGACTGAACATGGCTTTGGTCATCCCAATCAACTCCCTTAGTTTGGATGCGACATCTTCCGTACTGGTCATAACCTATTTAAGACTGAACGCAGATGCCTTCGTACCCATACAAGTAAGACACCTTACTGTCACGATGTCTACAGACTTTGTCAAAGAATGAACAAAGTTCACTGGTGTGTCAATTTTAAAATCTGGTAGCAGAGGATGCTGTTTTGGCTGACCACCCTCTACCTTGCGAGGTAGCTGAGGAAGGACCCCCTTTCTATGGGGTAAAATGCAGACTAGCCAACTATTCAGAGTAGGGAGGCATGAAAAGTGAATAACCATTTATGCCTTAACCTTATTCTGAATTGTTTGAGCGATGCCTTGTATGTAATGTATTGCAAGGTTGCATCCGTAAAGGAGTTATGGACTACATTTTTTAACAAATACTAGGCCGAGGACGCTATTACAAAGAAATTCATTCTCGATAAGATTCTAAATTCTAAGACATTGTTTGATTTTTTGGTATTTTGAGAGGCATTAAATGGATCAACTTTGGACTTAACAGTTTTAAGCGTTAATCAATGGATGTGTGTTATCTTAAAAAGAGATAAATGACTATTTAGATATATTTTACGCTACAAATGATAGAAGATTGAATGAGAAATTGATTCTCAAAGCTAACCCGTTAAATAGAAGACTATGGTTCATATTTCATTTTGAACCAATTTGCTGTTATCGTTATATTACATAATGTCTAAAAATAGTCCAATTTTATGATATTAATTGGCCATTAATTTCTAATTATTCGGAATAACTTCCTTTCTCTCAGTCCACGGAAAGGAATGGTTATTTAATCACCATTAAAATACCACTTATGCACTACATACTAATGCCTAGATTTATTGTATGCATTTAGCACAATATGTTACAAAGGGGGAAAACCTATGCTTTTTAAATTAATCTCCAGTCTCCACTCACATCTTTTGAGAGGATATGTACGTGAGTGAGAAATAGAAGAGGGAAAAACTTTTCTAGTTTAATTCTAAATGAGAGTTCTTGGTTTTCCGACTAAATTTTTCGGTGATCCCCTTCAAATTTTTCGGTCAACGACGATCCAACGACGTTGGTAGACGGAGGTGTGAGCTTGGCTTGTACAACCACCACACATGATACTGGTTTTATTTTAGGAGGAAGGTGCCCACATTTTTTGTTAGAACTGTATTATGGAAGAACACTGCGAAACAGTGTTAAAGAAGAACTCGATAGTATAACGAATCGCGTACGAAACACTTTCAGATCAAAGTTATTTCGGGGTATGCGAAATACTTCAATCAGATAAGACGTTAATCAACAACAAGCACTCGAAATCACGTTACTCAATCCATACCATGAGACTCTATTTTATAGAGTCGAAAATTTTCATGATCGGACATGAACGTTCGCGTAAACGTACGCGTACGTTCACACGGGGAAGGAAGAAAGGCGCGAGTTTGAACGAAAGGTCTCCTGCGGTTTTATGGTCTATTTCGACGTTATCCACTTGTTCGAGTCTTTTACCATTTTGGACCTCGCCAGGGGCTGCCGCCCCTTGGACCCCGCTACGAAATTTTATTTGGTTGTGCATTATCATTTATCATTTGATAAAATAAACGACTATTCTTGTAACATCTTATTTTGTAAAATTTTTGACATTTTTTTTGAATGTGTAGACATTTTTTTATTTCTATACCAATCTTTAAATAAAATACATTTTAAAAACTTGAAATTTTTGCTTTGTTTTGCGTTATGCAGCATTCTTTTTAAGATGAGGAAAGTTTTTTCTTCAAAATAAGATTGTTTTAATTAGATTTTGTAACTTAAGACTGAAATTAGTACTATATTTTCTATATAATAACTAATCAAAGACTTGATTTTTATTAATTTTCTTATGCTCAAAATTTCCCCATTCCTTTTCACTTTCACTTCTTAATCTTATGAATTTTTTATGCCACCATTCAACTTATTTCTCAATTGTCATTCACCTTCAACTCTTAGACCTAATTTGTTTCAATTGATGCTTCACCTTGTTTTTCAAATATTTTATTTCCTTTAACTTTGTTAATAACAAAATAGTTGGTTCACTTTATTCATCCAAAATTTTATAAGTATACCTTATCTTCAATTTCTAAATATAATAAATTTAAGACATGAAATTTTGTACTTTTTTTCCAAGATGGTAATCCATTTTACAAGACTCTATTTTATAAGTATACCTTGTCTTCAAATGGTAAAATAAAAGTAAAAATTTAAAAATATGCTCCTTCCAGCCCTAAAAACATGAGAGTTATTGATTTTTAAAAGATCTAAGGAAAGTCTATTTTGGTATTGAATTTCCAAAAAAGTCCGGATGGGTAAAAGTAGAATTTGATGGGTAGATTATTAGTAAAAAGGTATGATGTGATATGTAGGGTATGAAAAAGTAAGGGGTAAAAATGATTTCTTAATAGAAATAAGAAGTGTTTTTTGGGACGGATGAAAAAAAAGGAGAAAGGTTTTCAGGGACGAATGGAGTGATATGCATATTGAAAGGCAAACACAATTCCAAATTTATCGGTTTTAGTTCTAATCGGGTTTGGATATTATCGGTTTCGGATCTAATTGGTTTCGGGTTTTATCGGTTTCAGGTATTATCGGTTTCGGATCTAATCAATTTTGGGTTTAATCGGTTCAGATATTATCAATTTCGGATCTAATCGATTTTGGATTAAAATTGGATATGAATTATTTAGTTTCGTTTCAGTTCGATTCAGATCATTTCGAGTTTTCGGTTATAGATCGAATCTTCATTTTTCGGATCATTTCGATTTCGATTTCGGATATTTCGGTTCGGGTAGTCAGTTCCGATTCTGTTTTGCCAGGTCTATACATTATACTACGTATAAAATTATTAGTGTATGCACATTTAAAAGTTATGTAATGCGTAACAAATTAGAGTACATAATTATTTGGTCAAAATTTTAAAATGTTGACTAGAATACATTTCAGAGAAACATAGTTAACAAAAATATCAAAATCACTATGAAAATTAAAAATTATTTAATATAAGATTTTAGTAATTTACATAAATATATAATGGTAACTAATATTTGTATCCACGACACAATTTTTTAATATATTGTGACATTAAATAATTTTTTTTAATTATTGAGATAATAATAATAATAATATATGAGAATAAGCTAAATTTATAATTTTTAAGTCATTGTTGAAAGAAATCAAAACGAGTTAGAACAAAGTGGAAGGACATTAAAAAAAATAGGACTAGAAAAAAAAATCAGGAGTTGGAAAGATTTAGAAAAATAAGAAGTTAGAAGAAAGTAGAAAAAAGTAGGAGTTAAAAAATGTTAGAAGAGAACCTTAGAATGATTGTTTTATTTTTTAAATGTAATAATAGATTAAATATTAAAAATGATTTATTGTAAAAAGTCAAAAGGAAATATTTATAGCGATTTGTTTAGAAGGAAAGATTTGTTAAAGAGAGGGAGCTACCTAATCTCTCCTAATACGGAGTAGAAGGAAACGATTTGGTCACTTTTCAAATTAGTAAATTATGAAATTATCCAACCATTAATTAATTTAGAATCGACCAGATCCCCTCCCTCTAATTTGCTTCGGGAACATACTCCCTGTATAATAAGAATTGCAACTGACGACAACCTCGGGGCTTTATTTGTTCCGCCGACAATGTTTTCTCCTTCCTACTCCGTATATACATACTCCGCGTATTGATATACATATCAATTGTAACGCCAGTCAAAAATCAATAACAAATCACATTTTCTGTCCCGAATAATATTCATTATCAGTACCCATATATTCATCCTGGCCGGCGGCGACATGGCTATGCAGGGGTTTCACGAAGGCGACGACGACGACGTGTTGCTGTGGTCGGAGGAGGGACAGCCGGAGGAGACGAGCGGCGGGGGGCTGTGCGTGCCGCAGGATCGCCTGGACGATTTGAACTTCTTCCCGGACTTCCAAGACGACTTCATCTCCGTTGCGAATCTGCTCTCTTCCCCGGAACAGAGCGAGGTTCTCGACCACGACGGCGACGAGGACAGCCGGGAGAGTTTCACGGCCAGCTCCGGAGAAGGGCGGAAGAGGGCGGCTTGGATGGACGGCTGGGATTGCGAGACGGCGGCTGCTAATCGGGCGGTAAAGCGGGCCCGGGCGAAACGGGACGAGGAAGAGAAGAAGAATAAGAAGTGCAGCCACTGTGACGCGGAGGAGACGCCGCAGTGGAGGAGGGGTCCGATGGGGCCCAACACGCTGTGCAACGCTTGCGGGGTGAGGTACAAGTCGGGGAGGCTGGTGCCGGAGTATCGGCCGTTCGCCAGCCCCACTTTCGACAGCTCCAAGCACTCTAATTTTCATAGAAGGATTGTACACAAAGTGCAACATCATCATCACTAGTTTACAATTTCTTTCCTCGCTCATTAAAATATATTCACTTTAGCTATAGTTCTTTTTTTTTGATACGTCATTATTCTTTATTGATCCTTTTTGTCTCTCTTTTTGGGATCAATTATTATTCTTTATTCATTTTGATTTGTGCTTAATTGGTTTATTAATAATGTAACGTTTGATGAATAAATTGCCTTTTGAATGTGCCTTTTTGCTTAGCACATGCTCATATCCTTTTTGTCCCGTACAATTTTGTGCATTGAAGATTTTCTTGAGTACCATCTCACAAGGGATCAAGGATGTTTGGCCTACATGACTCCGGAATGGAAGGGATGCAATGAATCGAGTATATTGACCGGTGTGCATTTTTTATACTTCTTTTTTTGCCATCCCTCTCGCTCTCTTTTAGTTGATTTTTAGGTCCTCTGATCTATTGCGTGTTAATAATACACCTATTACAGCCCAAGTTGTTTCAAAACAATCGTATGGATTACCATGAACGGGGAAAACGAACGCTCTCAAAAGATAACAAATAATATTCTAAATTTATAATTTATTTAGCATGCTATTCACTAAACAACAAAATTGGAAAAATAATTTCAAGAACTTCAAAAGGTCTTGTTCTATGAAGACATTATGTACAGGACTGAAGCAACAAACTAGTACAACAACGAGGACATTATGACCTAGGCAAAATACAGTGAGGTTAATATGAAAAAAACTGTTATATCTGGGCCTAGCCCTATGATACCCTCCCCCATGTCCCACACCCTCGCAAAAACCAAAGGACTTACGTTCAAACATTATGATCCGTTTTAGTGAGAATTCCGAGTCCTTCAACCCAAGAGGCCAGAATAACTTCGGACCCAAGGGTCCACAGGCCGACTCCCACTCTGTCCAACCCAACCCAT